ATTTGAGCCTAATGATGTATGTGAAGTAATGTGACGTCAATTGAATGTGAAATAATAGCAATAAAAATTATTTAATAATGATTTGTTCTATTAATTCTAACTTTTTTTCAAAAAAATTATTATATAAGAATATTTATAATCTGTTATGCACAATAATTATTGTTTAAAAATATTTTAAAAAGAAATTGATTACATGGTTACATTGAGTAGAAGACCTACAATAGGACTCCTATTTACATAAGTTTTATTAGATCCAAGATTACAATTCTATATGTTCAGTTTAACAAAGCTTTGAATAGGATTATTTTAATTATTAGAAAAATTTTGACTTTGGTAGAGATTTAAGATGATGACGTGAATTATGTTTTTTCCTTGTTTATTTAGTGTCTCAAGTGAGACGTCTGTCAAATATGAGACTTAAGTATTTAACTAGATATAAGTGAGTTATTAGTGATCCATTGAGTGTAATTACTGAACATATTTACAGCACCGGATTGGATAGGAGTACAGCACCGGCCTTTATCTGAGTAAGACGTGTATGCGTGCATTTAATGTTTTTTTCCCTTAATATATAATAAATATAATTTTTGTAATCAATTTTCAACCACAATATTTTTAATTATGTCTGATAATTCGTCCAATAACAAAACAAAACATGATACTCCTATCAAAAAATTACAAAATTCATAGAATTCAAACTCTACCACAAAAAAAAATAACATTAGAAGATGTTTAGAACTTAATTACTTCACAAGAGTCAGGTTTAAAAAGCATAAATACGAAATTAATTTCAATGGAATCGGCTATCAAATCGTTTAAAGATACCATCAACAATTTAAACTCCGAAGTTACCAATCTTAAAAAACATAATTCAAACTTACAATTGGAATTCGATTCACTAAATTAAAATCTCCGACTTAGAAAAATTTTCATTAAATACACACCCATTAGCCTACAACTCTGTTAACGAAACACTTGATAGACTCCGTCGAAATAAAAATATATTAATATTTAATGTACCCGACAAACTCGAGGAAAATTCCGATAATACGGACCATTTAGTGAACGATTTATTAAAAATGTAAATATTACAGTTACCAAAAGTAAACGGCTGAGAAATTTTAATTCTAAACCACGTTCAATATTAATTAAACTATCATCACTAGAAGATGTTACTACCGTGCTCAAAGCAAAAAATCGATTACGAAACCAAACTCAATGGCATGGCATATGGATCAACCAAGATTTGACAAATATGCAACAAGAGTACATGAAAAACTTACGCAATGAGTTAATCCAAAAACGAATTGCGGGCAAAGCAAACTGGTTCATAAAATACATCAATGGATCTCCTCAATTAGCCAAAAAAAACTAATTTCCTCTCGAAGGTCATATCCATCCATTGTAAATTATTCAAAGTATGTAGATCAAACTAATAAACAATTTAAATTATATTATCAAAATGTTAGAGGATTAAGAACTAAGTTACCGGAACTTAACCGTAATATTTCATTATTAAATTATGATTGTATTATTTTAGTAGAAACATGGCTTAATGAAAATATTTTAGACCCAGAATTAGGTTTACATGATTATATTTTATTTCGTAGGGACAGATGTTCCATAACTAGCACACATCNTTCGTAGGGACAGATGTTCCATAACTAGTACACATCAAAGAGGTGGCGGCGTTTTAATTGGTATAAGAAAAAATAAATTTGTTACAAGTAGATTGTCTAATACACTATCCGATATCGAACATGTCTTCATTCAATTAAAACTAAACCATACTCTTAACCTAATAATAGGAGCTTGTTACATTCCCCCAAACAGCCCGTTATCTACCTATAATAAACACGTTGAAGCAATTGAAGAAATCTTATCTAATAACCCTAATGTAAAAGTTATTCTTGCAGGTGACTATAATTTACCGAATGTTACGTTCAGTAATGATAATGATGGCCTAGTATTTATGGAGTACATTCCGATAAAGCCCATATAATTTTTGATTGTTGCCAATTAAATGATTTTCGTCAACTTCAATAACTCTGGATCACTTTTAGATCTGATTTTCAGTAATATTTCTAACGCCACAGTAACTATAACTAACGACATCTTAGTCCCAATTGATAATTACCATCCAGAATTAAAAACAGTCTTTGAATTAAACAGTTCTATTGTAAATATTAATTCTACCCATACCACTGGCTTTAATTTTAAGATAGCTAACTATTCCTTAATTTGTTATGAATTAAACAAAATTAACTGGGATTACCTATTAAACAAAAAATGCATAAATAAAAATATAAATTCATTTTACAATATACTATATAAAATTATAAATAAACATGTACCTAAATTTACAAATAAAAAAAAACCAAAATTTCCTATATGGTTTAATACCGAACTAAAACAATGTATTTTTTCAAAAAAATCTCTTCACGTAAAATTTAAAATTTCAAATGATCCAAATGACTATCGATTATTTTCCGATGCCAGAAGGAAATATAAATTACTAATGAATGAATGTTACTGTTATCATCTAATCTACACATAAATCAATTATCTCTCAATCCGAAATATTTTTGGAGCTATATAAAAAAATTCAAATCTGACAACACTATTCCTAACGTGATGCATTATAATAATACAGTGTCTGGTAATAGCTTATCAATCGAAAACATGTTTAGATCTTACTTCTCATCAGCTTATAATAAAAACAATTCTGTTATTAATCAAAACATCTCATCGAACAGAATTAATCTAGTAGATATTAATTCTTGTTCACTTTCCATTAGTGATGTGTTTGATGGATTATCACAACTAAAACTAGACGTAACATCTGGCCCTGATTCTATCCTTGCTTTATTTTTAAATTTATGTCGTTATTCCTTAGCTTACCCAGTATACAAACTATTCTCTTTATCTCTAAAAACAGGCATTTTCCCAAATTCATGAAAATCTAGTTATGTATTACCAATTTGGAAAACCGGAGATCGATCGATTATCAATAACTATAGAACTATTTCTAAGTTAAGTGTTCTACCTAAACTTTTTGAAAAACTCATTGAGCCCAAACTATCAGATATATTGAAAAAAACTTTAATAAATGAACAACATGGATTTCGCAAAAATTAATCAATTGATACAAATTTATTAACATTTTTCAACTTTTTAACTAACACAGTTGGCTCTGGTGGTCAAGTAGACGTAATATATATGTAAGATATAAAAAAAGCATTTGATACGGTTGACCACTCAATTCTTATCAAAAAACTATCCGACTTTGGTTTTGGTGATCCAATTTTATCATGGCTATATTCTTATCTTACTGATCGAACTCAAATGGTAAAAATTTATAATAAAATTTCCAATGAATTTATTGTATCATCTAGAGTACCCCAAGGGGGTCATTTGTCTCCCTTGTTATTTTTGATTTTTATAAACGATATTTTCTCAATATTTAAATATTGTAAGTTCTTATTATTTGCAGATGATTTAAAATTATATACCACTATTAATTCTATAGATGACATAAATCATTTACAAATTGACTTGAATAGTCTATTTCATTGGTGTTTATTAAATGACTTAAAGATAAATAGTTCTAAATGCTCATTTATTTCATTTTGTCGTCGCAAAGTAAGAATACCTTCTGACAATAAAATTGGTGATTACAAACTACAAAAAGTTTCCCTTATTCAAGATTTAGGTGTAATAATGTCAGATGATCTAAATTTTTCTGAACACATTAACATAATATATAATAAAGCTATTCGGAATTTAGGATTTATAAAGAGAAATTGCTCTGAATTTAACGACCTCAATTATTTAATTACCTTATACACAGCTCTTGTTAGATCTACACTTGAATTCGGCTCTATTATTTGGAACCCAACTCAAGCCGGCCACAAAAATAAAATAGAAAAAATTCAAAGACGCTTCTTTCGAATGATAGCTCACAAAATAGGTATGGTAGGTAAATCAATCAATGATGTTGCAATCAAATGTCAAATCCCAACCTTAGAATCAAGACGTCTATTTATTGATTTAACATTTATATACAAATTATTAAATAATAAAATTATCTGCCCAGAGCTACTTGAACAAATTTGTTTTAAAATACCAGCTTATAATACCCGATCTCAACAATTATTTTTTATTATTCTAGGGAAAAATAATTTCATTGAATATAGGCCATTAAAACGTATGTTAATGTCTTGTAATAATATTTCCAACTTTTTTTATGATTGTCCTAACAAATAAAAATGTGCAATAACTAATAATAATCATTCTAACACAAATATTTATTGTTATATTCATAATAATTCATTACTTCTAATTTATATTATTTTTATACTTAATATCTAATTATTATTCACCTTAATTTTATAAATGTATCACTGTATATTGTTAATTTTTTAAAATTGTATTTATATTATTATATTACTACTTGTACTACATTGCCCTTCGAGGGTGTTATCTTATAAATAAAAAAATAAATTAATATTTCTCCGTGTAATGTAAATATTGTGCTAGTAGATTTGTCTGCGTTTAGTTTAAATTATACGTTGATAATTCAAATTTTCAGACGATCCGAATAATTTCTAAGATTAGATTAACCATCATAGGGTCAATATTTTAAAGTAGGGTTGTGTCAACTGCATAAGTTATTCAAACATTATCCCCAGAGTAGGCAATAGAAAAATATGTCTGTAATATATAATCTTTCCTGGAGGTTTTAATGTTTTTTTTTTAATAGCAATAAATCGACACAAAATATTTATAATTTGTCAAAGAGTGAGAGCATGACTTAAGTATGCTTAAGATAAAAAATAATAATAATTGTTTAAAACATAAATAGTAACATTAATTTTTAAAACTTTAATAATGACTATTTAAATTGAAATAGTTTTCTCTTAAATAGGTATATATAATTAAATATCTAGATTATAAAAAATTTTAAAAGCAAAAATTAATAAACAATTGTTATCATATAGCAATTCAATATTCAGATGACGGAATAAAATGCAAATTTCAAAAAGGTACCACTAGAAAAGCTGCTGAAGAAGGAAACATAGAAATTTTAAAATATGCTCATCAAAATGGATGTCAATGGGACGATGATACGACTGTTGTAGCAGCTGCAAAAGGTAATTTGGAATGTTTAAAATATGCCCATGAAAATGGATGTCCGTGGAATAAAAGCACAACAGAAGCTGCTGCAAAATATGGTAATTTGGAATGCTTAAAATATGCTCATGAAAATGGATGTCCTTGGAATGGATTAAAAATTGTACAAAATGCTATTAAAAATACTGATTTTGATATTTTGAAATATGCTCACAAATATATAAATAAATTAAATATAGTTCTAACTATCATTGCTGCTCATGCAGGTAATATAGAAGTTTTAAAATATGCACATAACAATAAATGTTTGTGGGATAAAAGAACAACAAAAGCCGCTGCCGTTTCTGGTAGTTTAAAATGTTTAAAATATGCCCATGAAAATGGATGTCCTTGGGATGAAAGTACAACAGAAAAAGCAGCTGCTAATGGACATTTAGAATGTTTAATGTATGCTCATGAAAATAAATGCCCATGGAATAAAAGAACAACTGAAGAAGCTGCTTCAAATGGTAAACTACAATGTTTAAAATATGCCCAAGAAAATGGATGTCCTTGGGATGAAAGTACAACAGAAATAGCTGCTGCTAATGGATATTTAGAATGTTTAAAATATGCCCATGAAAATAAATGTGCATGGGATGAACACACAACATATGTAGCTGCTCTTTATGGTGAATTAGAATGTTTAAAGTATGCTCATGAAAATGGATGTCCTTGGAATGAAACCACAACACAAGGAGCTGCTATAAATGGTAGTTTAGAAATTTTAAAATATTTACATAAAAATAGATGTCCGTGGGATGAAAGAACAACGGAAGCAGCTGCTTCTAATGGTAATTTGGAATGCTTAAAATATGCCTATGAAAATGGATGTCTGTGGGATGAAAGTACAACAGAAAAAGCAGCTGCTAATGGACATTTAGAATGTTTAATGTATGCTCATAAAAATAAATGCCCATGGAATAAAAGAACAACTGAAGAAGCTGCTTCAAATGGTAAACTACAATGTTTAAAATATGCCCATGAAAATGGATGTCCTTGGGATGAAAGTACAACAGAAAAAGCAGCTGCTAATGGACATTTAGAATGTTTAAAATATGCCCATGAAAATAAATGTGCATGGGATGAACGCACATCACATGTAGCTGCTATTTATGGTGAATTAGTATGTCTAAAATATGCTCATGAAAATGGATGTCCGTGGGATGAAAGAACAACACAAGGAGCTGCTATAAATGGTAGTTTAAAAATTTTAGAATATTTACATAAAAATAGATGTCCGTGGGATGAAAGAACAACGGAAGCAGCTGCTTCTAATGGTAAATTAGAATGTTTAGAATATGCATATGTGAATAGTTGTCCGTGGGATGAAAGTACAACAGAAATAGCTGCTGCTAATGGTAAATTAGAATGTTTAAAATATGCATATGTAAATGGATGTCCGTGGGATGAATTCACAACACAAATTGCTGCTTTTTATGGTAAATTAGAATGTTTAAAATATGCATATGAAAATGGATGTCCGTGGGATGAAAAAACAACGGAAGCAGCTGCTTCTAATGGTAAATTAGAATGTTTAAAATATGCATATGTGAATGGTTGTCCGTGGGATGAACGCACACCATATGTAGCTGCTCTTTATGGTGAATTAGTATGTCTAAAATATGCTCATGAAAATGGATGTCCGTGGGATGAAAGAACAACACTAGGAGCTGCTATAAATGGTAGTTTAAAAATTTTAGAATATTTACATAACAATAGATGTCCGTGGGATGAAAGAACAACGGAAGCAGCAGCTTCTAATGGTAAATTAGATTGTTTAAAATATGCCCATGAAAATGGATGTCCGTGGGATAATAACACAACAGAAGCAGCTGCTTCTAATGGACATTTAGAATGTTTAAAATATGCCCATGAAAATGGATGTCCGTGGTATGAAAGAACAACGGAAGCAGCTGCAAAATATGGTAATTTGGAATGCTTAAAATATGCCCATGAAAATGGATGTCCGTGGTATGAAAGAACAACGAAAGCAGCTGCAAAATATGGTAAGTTAGATTGTTTAAAATTTGCTCAAGAAAATGGATGTCCGTGGGATAATAACACAACAGAAGCAGCTGCTTCTAATGGCAAATTAGAATGCTTAAAATTTGCACATGCAAACGGGTGTCCATGGAATAAAGCCACAACTAGAGTAGCTGCATCAGGAGGCTATTTAGACTGCTTGATTTATGCTCATGAAAATGGATGTAACTGGGATAAAGATATCACAGCAGCAGCAGCTGTGTTTGGTAATTTAGATTGTTTAAAATATGCCCGTAAACGTGGATGTATTTGGGTAGAAGGTACAATGAGAGTGGTTGCATCGAATGGACATTTAGACTGCATTAAATATGCCCATGAAAATGGTTGTGACTGGGATGAAGGCACAACAAGGGAAGCTGCTGCTAGTGGTTATATAGACATTTTGGTATATGCACATAGAAATGGATGTAATTGGGACAAAGGCACAATGAGTGGAGCTGCTGCAAATGGTCATTTAGACTGTCTAAAATATAGTCATTTAAATGGGTGTGTGTGGGACGAAGGGACAACAAGACTTGCTGCTGCAAATGGCCAATTTGAATGCATAAAATTTGCCCATGAAAATTATTGTCCGTGGAGTAGAGGTACCATTTATGAAGCTACTCAAAATGGTTATCAAAATATAATTCATTATGTCACTGAAAATGGCTGCCTTAATTGATTTTCTGTTGAAATATAATTTTTATTCATTTATGTTGGTTATTATTACATTATTTTTCAAATAAATTAACTTGAATTTTCATTTATATCTGAGAGGGTAATGATTTTCATAAAAGAATTTTTGACGGTTTACTTTCTTAAGAAATAATATTTTTGGATGTATTACCAAAAATAATATGTTATATCATCTGTAATTTTAACATAGAATTTGCTTGATAAAATTTTCTCAGCTGTAAGAATAATTTTTCCAGAATACCATTCATCAAACTTTCATTAAAAAATGGAAATTTGAAAATCAGATATTATTAAGTAATTTTGATTACATCGGCTAGTTTTTAATGTTTTATTATATAATAAGTTGCTACATAGAAAACTCTCTGTATTATTTTGATACGATAGTAATAAAATTATATAAGAATAAAGTTTTTATCCTTCAAATAATATATTATTAAGTGATTTGTTTTGACTTTTTGTCTTGCCAAAAACATATAAGCAACAACCAACAAGTTAAATTTGGATTTCCTTGTTTTTCAAATATAAAAATTATTCAACTTCATCTGGATATAATTTTGCTATTATTCTTTTTATCTTTGATTTGCATGTTTCTCATCAATAAATGCAATTGATTAACCTAAAAAAGTAATGTATAACATAATAAATTATTAATCTAAATAACAATAGTCAACCATGGTTTCCAATTTCGACAGTTTTCACTTAGATATTGAATAATATTTATTTTAATAATAATATTTTTATTATTAAAACTTATGTATGCAAATAATTTAAGATTTCATAATATTCTTTAGTAAATAGTATTTTCAGTAGCTTTTCTAGTGATAAGTTTTTTAAATTGGCATTTTAAATCGTTAACTGAATAATAATAATAATATAAAAATAATCGCTATTATTTTTAATAATATATTCAGTCAACATAATTTTGTGCATTGCGATCTGATTTTTCTTCAAAAGTTTGTACAACAGTCATAAGACTTTATGACGACTTTATATAATTCTACAATGTCTTTATAATTTTTTATCTTTCTTAATAAATTAATAAGGTATTAAATTTACTATGATATTATAATATGAATTTATTATTATTATTGTTAAATTTTTTGTTTTTTTGTTAGTATTGTATTTTTGACAAAAAAATTCTTGATAAAATATAAATTTATAATTTATCATTATTATATCAAATAAATTTAGTAAATCAGGTTGCTAGAGCAGTGAAAAATCAAATTTTAGTGTACCTAATTAATTTTATAGTTTATAGAAAAAATGATAAGGGTAGAATTGTATAGACAGAATAGAGTATGTACTAAACAACTTAAAAATGATGAAATAAGAAAATTTGAAAATAAACACTCTGTAGGAAAATTTGTATGTTAGATATCACCAATATATTTCTAAAATGAAAATAACTTCAACCATCAGAAATTTCTATTTAAAACGGAAATTTAATAAAGTAATGTATAATGTGTGTTTGTAGGCTACCTCCCAAAATCTCTCCTCATCTCTTATCACATAAAAATTGGAACCTCCTCCACCCACTTATTAAAAAGGCATTTTAGTTATAGGATAGAGTTGTAACTGTTTATATTGAAGCTATTTTGATAACATGTCATAAAAAAAAGAAGGGTAAAGGGGTATAATTGGAATTAACCTAATTGGCTATAATTAAATAGAAGTATATAATATATATATAATATAATATATAGTGTTAAGTAGGTTAATGTTTTGTATATTGGAATGGTGAAATCCAATAAATAATTTTTTTTAATATGAAATGCAATGAGAGGATAATTAAATTGAATATGAGTATAAATATTATGTTAACCGGAGTTTTTGAAATTCGTTTAGCTACAAAATGAAAATAAAATCATATGACATATAATCATAAATTCTTTGTTTTGATATAGTGACCACTCCTATTTTGTCGTAAAATATAGATCGCAAGTAAATTACTTCTATATGACGCACAATAAAACGTGCAACGATTAAGGAGAAGAATTTTACGACTCTTAATATTTAGTGGTTGTGTTATAGAAATAATAAACTGTGTGTGTTTACATAAATTGCAAGTGTCCAGTTGTTGGGCGACAAGCCTTAATGGCTGAATTGTTATTTTTTTTTATAGGTATTAAATATAAACTAAATATTTATGTTTAACGCAAGCTGTTGCGTCCTGAATGGTGACTAAATAGCTATTAATAATATTTTCCCCTTTTTTATTATCTGTTATTTGCTTGACAAAAGTTATTCTTGATTTACCTTAAGTTTATTTTTCTAATTTTTATGACATGCTTAGAAATATAATTTCTTACCTTGTATCCAGCTAGCTTGATCGTTTGTTGTAAAAAGAATAAAAAGAGCACTGACTTTTATCTACTTATTTATTTTGTAAAATTATGCAAATTATTAAACTTGAAATATTACTTCTCTGTAGTTCCTTTCTATACTTCTGTATAAGTGTCTGAGTATATGTGTTACTTTATATTTTAAAATGAATATTTAAATAATCAGATAGATTATGATAACCAATCCCTAGTGACACGTTATAAACTATTGTTTTACGAATAGTTTTAACCGCTAGATTTGCTAGGGTAATGACTTCAATAAACTATTAATATTTTATGAAATTGTGTATTTGATATGAGAGTCGACAGAGTTAGAGACAGGCTGGCTACACCATCGGAGATTATACTCGTCGATGCACGGACCTTACAGAGTCAAAAACTGCTTGCCGAAAAGAACATAATGGAATATGAGAATCAATCCCTAGTGACACGTTACAAACTATTGTTTTACCAATAATTTCAACTGCTAGATATGCTAGGATAATGATCTTAACAAACCATCAGTATCTTGTGCAATCAATCAAACACTCATCTATTTAAATTTAAAATACATTCTACGATCTCCTTAGTGACACGTCACTAACTATTGTATTACAACAGTTTCAACCGCTAGATGTGCTCAGGTAGATTTTCGAAATGCACTTATCAAATAGACACTCCAATTAAAGAATTAAAAAAATTCTTAATTGGAACAACTTACAAAATACAAAAAAAATTAATCGTCTTAATAATTTATAAATATTTAAAACTCAAAAAAATAAAAAGATAAGTTATTTATTTTATTTTTTTTTTAATTACATTACTTACGAGAGATTTTGATAAAAACACCAAGTATGAAAAGATTCTAAGTCAGAGAGAGAGAGAGAGAGAGAGAGAGAAAGAGCATAATAGCGAAATATTCTGGTTCAAAGATACTTCATGACCAAACTCTTAGAAAAAATCTGCCTGTAAATGAGCTAAAAATCGCTCTTTTATAGGCCTGTTTTATGAGGGGAAATTTAATGTTTTATATTTTAATTGCAAAATCCTTCTCATTGGCTAGTCAAGTAAACTTGAATAAACCTATGCGCAATCTATTATTCTACTAATTTGAGTTAATGTTTCATATGTGTATTGGTGTTTTATATCCATCATCTCCCATAATAATGTGATTTATTAGAAAAATCATTAATATAAAAATATAAAGAAAATAAAATCATAAGTGCTAAATATCTATTACAAACAGATGATATGTATTCTTTATCACATCATAATACTCATAGGATGTTGTGATAAGTGTTTATCAGCGTTGTTATTTTAATAACAGATAATATATATGATTTAGGGTCTCTCTTATGTTTATTATGATTTAATGTACGACACATAAGGAGTGTTACCCCTTATTTTTTACATTTAAGCACCTGAAAGCAGTACCTTCTCCACCCACCAGTATTTATTAGCTAATATTTAAATATATATAGTGTATATAAATTCAGACAAAATATGCATATTGTTATATTTCTATTCGAACTGTGTACTGAAAATTTATTGTTAGTGAAGTTATGACAGTTGAACGGTCAAATACTTGTAGAAAACATCATCGATAATATTACGAAGTCAATTGATAAAAAANTCAAGTACTTGTAGAAAACATCATCGATAATATTATGAAGTAAATTGATAAAAAAGTAAGTATTATCATGTTTCTTTCTATACAATGTCAATGTGACACACATTTTTATAAATGTATTAATATATTTTAGATGAACGTTATTAATAAAGAATGGATAAATGAGATGAAATTTAAACACAGAAAGAATGTATCTAATCTTAAAGGTGGAGTTCAGTACAAGGTTTTGGGTTTGTACGTAATGAAATTAAAATATTTTAATGAAACACCAGTGGCTGAGGTGAAGCTTGACGACGTACCATCATTTCAAATTTATTTGCCAGCGAGGTTTTCATTTACTCGAGAAGATCTGGTAAAAGGAGTCGATAAATATCTTAGGATTGTATCTAATAGACGAAAAAATCAAAGTTCGAGTTGTGACATAATGTTTATATGAATATTGTTTGAAAAAAAATGAAAATAAAAAATATTGATAATTACAAATTGTATTACATATAATTTAATCTCTAATGAAAATTTTAAGAATAGTTATGGGTAAAATAAACAAACTTATGTATATTAAATTATAATGTGTAAACTAAAAAAAATATCCCACTGTTAAAAGTATATACATGAAAAGAAAAATGAGTGTGAAAGTAATTATTTGAAATAATAATTTGCAAACGTAANTCATGTTTATCTCTATTCAATATCAACGTGACACATTTTTGATAAAAGTATTAATATATTTTAGATGAACGTTATTAAGAAAGAATGGTTAAATGAGATGAAATCTAAACACAGAAAGAATGTATCTAATCTTAAAGTAGGAGTTCAGTACAAGGTTTTGGGTTTGTACGTAATGAAATTAAAATATTTTAATGAAACACCAGTGGCTGAGGTGAAGCTTGACGACGTACCATCATTTCAAATTTATTTGCCAGCGAGGTTTTCATTTACTCGAGAAGATCTGGTAAAAGGAGTCGATAAATATCTTAGGATTGTATCTAATAGACGAAAAAATCAAAGTTCGAGTTGTGACATAATGTTTATATGAATATTGTTTGAAAAAANAAATCAAAGTTCGAGTTGTGACATAATGTTTATATGAATATTGTTTAAAAAAAAATTAATAATAAAAAATATTGATAATTACAAATTGCATTACATATAATTTAATCTCTAATGAAAATTTTAAGAATAGTTATGGGTAAAATAAACAAACGTATGTATATTAAATTATAATGTGTAAACTAAAAAAAATATCCCACCGTTAAAAGTATATACATGAAAAGAAAAATGAG